TCATTTGACGCCCCCCAAGGGGTTGCGACCCACAGGTTGAGAAACACTGCCTTAGCGCCTCCAGATGAGATCACCAAGCTGCAACCCGATTGACAGGCTAAACTCCATCTCTTCACTCTTTTTTATTTATTTATTTATTTTAGGGGTTGATTTTTATTTATTTATTTATTTATTTTTATTGGGGCTCATACAATTCATCACAATACATAGATCAATTGTGTAAAGCACATCTATACATTTGTTGCCCTCATCATTCCCAAAATTCGCTAGCCTCTAATTTTCCGTTTTTCCCCCCTCCCCTTCCCTTCCTCCATCTCTTCACTCTTAAGGCTCAAATTGACAACAGATTATGTAACTACACAGTCTATAAAGAAGTTCTATGGAGTTTCTTTCCTGTTAGAAAATCCTGAAAGGTAGTTCTTCTCTGCCCTAATGGTTGACACAAGTCAGAACCCACGGGACGACAGTGAGTTGGGGTTTCTGATAATCTGGCTTGGAAGCTAGACTGCCAGTACGCTTTCTTCTCTCTCTCTCTCTCTCTCTCCTGAAAACCAGCACTTGTTGGATGATCAGGGTTGAAACTGCAGCTGTGGAAGTAAGTTTAGTTGATGGAGAGTCCCCGAAAGACAACCCCTACTTTCTGTGGTCTGTGGGAGAGGTGGAGCGGGGCTGGGAAAAGAGGGGCTTCCCAAAAGAGGGCTTACTCACTTCCTGATCAATCCGTCCCATCTTTCTTCATGTCTGTCTGCCACATTCATGTCCCTGCAGAGAAGTGAGAGCAGCTTTCTCTATCCCCCCACCAGGTAGGGCCAGTTGGTGTCATGGAAATGAGATTCATCAGGAGAAAGCAAATGTAGAGACCATCTCGTTCCATTCTCTTCTGATAATCAGCATGAGGTTTCGCAAGTGAAATAATGTTCTTTGCCAAGTTCGCACTTGGAAGTGTTTTCATGGAAGGGTCTTTGCAGTCCTGAGGTCGGCTCCAGGGACTTGCATCGTCCTACTTGTGTCACCAACTTGGACAAGACCCTTAATTTCTCCACGACCACAAGTCCTCATTTCCAATATGCAAGAGATTTCTGAATGGCCCGGTGGTGTAGTGGTTACATCTTGGGCTGTTCACGGCAAGGTCAGCAGTTTGAAACCAGCGGCAGCTTCTCTGGAGAAAGAGGACATGTCTACTTAAAGAGTCACAGTCTTGGAAACTGACAGGGCCAGTCCCACCATGTCCTGCGGGGCTGCCGTGAGGCTGAATCCACATGATGGAAGCGAGTTCGGTGTGGAGCTTCAGTCTGTTATGGTCCAAGTGCATACTTCTAGGGATATTTAACTGAATGGGACTCACTAGCCAGAATGGTTGAAATGGTTCTAACAAACGTTATTTCTGTGCTCTGAGTGTTCATGCTTTGGGCGTCTGCTGTGTGTCAGAGCGGTGCTGGATGTTTAGCACACCAAGTGTTCTATAGAAGGATAAAAGAGTCCCTGGGAGGTTCCAGTGCTTAACGCCTCAGCTGCTAACTGAAAGGCTGCAGGTTCAAGCCCAGCCAGTGACACCTGGAAGAAAGGTCTGACAATCTCCTTCTGAAAATCAGCCCTTGACAACCCTAACTCTGAGCCATGTAGTAGTGTTACTCTGAAATGGAGTGAACTTCATGGCAACGGGTTTGGTGTGACTTTGCTTGTTTGTTTTAGGGGATAAAGCCTGTCCATAAATGGCTGTGATGATACCGTACCTGAGCCCTGGTGGCGTAGCGGTTACGTGTTGGGCTATGATCTGCAAAGTCTGAAGTTCAAAACTGCAGCCACTCCTCGAGTCAGACAGGGCTTTCTACTCCGTAAAGAGGTACAGTCTCGGAAGCTCACGGGGCCGGTTCTACCTGTCCCACAGGGTCGCTGCATCATCGATTCTAGGGCAGTGGGTATGGAGTGGGAGTGATGACATAAATGGAGGACCGTGGACTGGTCTGGCGGAGGGTTGAAAGCACAGGAGGCCTCTTTACTTACATATTTTGATGGTTGTATGTCTCATTGCTTCTCCAATACACTGTAAGCCAGGGCCTATATTTTCTCCTTTCTTTTTTTAAATCATTTTATTAGGGGCTCATACAACTCTTATCACAATCCATACACACAGCAATTGTGTAAAGCGCATTTGTACATTCATTGCCCTCATCATTCTCAAAACATTTCCTCTCCACTTAAACCCCCGGCATTAGGTCCTCATTTTCCCCCTCCCTCCCCGCTCCCCACTCCCTCATGAGCCCTTGATAGTTTATAAATTGTTATTTTGTCATATCTTGCCCTGTCCGATGTCTCCCTGCACCCACTTTTCGATTGTCTGTCCCCCAGGGAGGAGGTCACATATAGTTCCTTGTAATCGGTTCTCTCTTTCCTACCCACTCTCCCTCTACCCTCCCAGTATCGCCCCTCCCACCACTGGTCCTGTAGGGCTCATCCGGCCTGGATTCCCTGTATTTCCAGTTCCTATCTGTACCAGTGTACATCCTCTGGTCTAGCCAGACTTGCAAGGTAGAATCCGTGTCATGATAATGGGAGCAGGGAGGAAACATTTAGGAACTAGAGGAAAGTTGTATTTTTCATCGTTGTTACATCGCACCCTGACTGGCTCATCTCCTCCCCGAGACCCCTCTGTAAGGGGATCTCCAGTGGCCTACTAATGGGCTTTGGGTCTCCACTCCACACTCCCCACATCATTCACTATGGTAAGATTTTTTGTTCTGATGATGCCTTGTACCTGATCCCTTCGACACCTCGTGGTTGCATAGGCTGGTGTGCTTCTTCCATGTGGGCTTTGTTGCTTCTGAGCTTGATGGCCGCTTGATTACCTTCAAGCCTTTAAGACTCCAGATGCTATACTTTTTGATAGCGAGGCACCATCAGCTTTCTTCACCACATTTATTTATGCACCCATTTGTCTTCAGTGATCCATTCGACACTTCGTGTTCACACAGGCTGATATGTTGTTCCATGTGGGCTTTGTTGCTTCTGAGCTAGATGGCCGCTTGTTTACTTTCAAGCTTTTAAGACCCCAGACGCTATATCTTTTGATGGCTGGGCACCATCAGCTTTCTTCACCACATTTGCTTATTCACCCACTTTGTCTTCAGCAGTTGTGTCGGGAAGGTGAGCATCATAGAATGCCAATTTACTAGAAGAAAGTATTCTTGCGTCGAGGGAGTACTTGAGTGGAGGCAGGGCCTATATTTTCAATCACATGCATACTCACCTCACTGTGAGGTGACTAGATAATGTCATGGTATATAATAAGAACATAGGTCGAAAGCAGGAAGCTTGTATGTAAGCCATGGGATGGCCACACTGTTTTTCCCAATAAATGACATTCACCAAGAGTGAGCCTGCCATAATGTCAAGTGTAGTGTTCAGGACATAAGTGTATGTGCAGTGTTCTCTAAGCTATGCAAGAATGTGCGTAGAAAAGAGACTACAGGGAAGCAGCCAAAATGCCAACCGTGGTTATTTCCCAATGAGAACAGGAAGAAGACGATTCCATTACCTTCGTCACATATTCAGGTGACCGTCAAACACTTGAAGAAATGCTTGTGACCGTTAGAAGGGGTGTCTGAGAGTCGGTGCTTCCACCTGAGTCTTACAGGATGGCCTGAGGTTGTATGCAAATACTGCCAACTGAGACCTTTTAAAACAATTTAGTGGTTTGTTCATTACTGTTTGAGTAGCCTCTCTGTTTCTTGGAACTTTTTAATCTAAAGGTAATGAAAACAATTATTCACCTGCTCTGAGTTCCCACGAATTCAGCAGATTCTGAGTTGCTTACAAATTAATAGGACTATATCTGAAGAAAGGAGGCCTGGTGGCAGAGTGGGTAATGCATCCAGCTGCTAACCAAAAGTTCGGCAGTTCAAACCCAGCGGTGGCTCCTCAGGAGAAAGATGAGGCAGTCTGCTCATGTGAGGACTACAAGTCTCAGAAACCATAGGAAGAGTTCTATTCTGTTCTATAGCATCCCCACGAGTTGGAATCGATTTGATGTGAGTGAGATTGATTGATTGGTATCTGAAGTAGAGTTCACAGTGTCTAGAAAACAATTTAAGATTGAAAGGTGCCAATTTCAGGGGTTCAAATAGCTTGCTAACGAAATGGCCGAGCTCATTTGATGACGGGTTTTTGAATTTGCTTTACGATGATAAGAAAAACAGACCTCACAAAACATTTGCCAATTCAACCTTGGCTGCATGTTCAGATCAGTCATATGGGGTAGGTTCATCATGTTGAGTCATCACACCCCCACCCACCACTGTCACCATCATCATTTCTAGATTATTCCACCATAACTAACAGAACCCTCATGTCCTCTGAGCTAAACGTTCCTTCCCTCCCACACCTGGTAATCACTAGTAAACTGTGGTCCCTGGACATTGGCCAATTTCATATGTAAGTGAGACCACTCACTCCTTTCACTTCTGTGACGTCCTTCCCTCAGCAGAATGCTGTCCAGCTCCGTCCCTGCTGTTAGACGGATCAGGAGTTCATGGCTCTTCCGACCGAGGGCCGCTCTTGGCCTGTCGACACCACACTCGGTTTCTCTTGTCTTCTGTGGATGGGTAATTAGGTTGTCTCCACCTTTTAGCTGTCATGAGCAATGTGACAGTGGCTCTTGGTGTCCAGGTTTCTGTTTTCATTTCTTTCAGGGACAGACCTAGGATTGGGACTGCTGGGTCATAGGGCACCGCGGTGTCTCACGGTGTGCCACAGCAGCTGCACAGTTTTGTATGCTCACCAACAATGGGCAAGGGTTCCAATTTCTCCACAGACTTTCCAACATCTGTGGTTTCCTTTGTGGAGGTCATAGCCATTCTGGTGGGGGTGCCGGGGGTTATGAAGTGGTATCTCATTACATTTTCATTTGCATCTGCTTATGCTAAGTGAGTTAAAAAAAAGTTTTTACCAAATGTTTGAAATGACTCAATTGAGCCATTAACGAAAATTGGGGGGTTGGGTGGGGCGGATGTACAATGCACATGTACATCCTTCCAAAAAAACTAAACCGATCCTGAAAGGCTGCCACAGGGACACTGTAACTCGTGGGCTCTGTTCCCCTCTGCTGAGCCTCAGGGATAAATTTTGTTACAGACATTGAGAAAAAAAAGACAAAACTAAAGCGAATTATGCCGTGCATGTTCCCACTATGCTAGTAACTGTCACACAAGCAGAATTGATAGATCTTGGGCCTAGCCTTTGTAATAATTCTAGTACTTCTTTAAACATGTCTTGGGATTAGCAGCTGTCAGCAGTTAGGTCTGAAAACAGATTTGGTTACAAGAGTGGAAACTGAGCCAGCCGAGTCCTGCCATTTTCACCTGTAGGCGAGAGAGAGAGAGAGAGAGAGAGAGAGAGAGAGAGAGAGAGAGAGAGAGAGAGGAAGGAATAGAGAGGGAGACCCTGCCTGGGGTCAGAGGGACTTCGGAGCTGTTTCTGCCACCTGGAAAAACTGTGCCTTCAAGGCCAAAGATGTGGGGAATGCAGTTTTATGAGAGATATGGCCATTCTAAATAGAATAAGGGCTGGGAGGGGGAAATGCGGGGCTGGTATGAAGGGCTCAAGTAGAAAGCACATGTTTTGAGCATGGGGAGGGCAGCAATTGTACAAAGGTGCTTGACACAATGGATGAATGTATGGATTGTGATAAGAGTTGTACGAATCCCCAGCGAAATGATTTAAAAAGAAAGAAAGAAAGATATGGCTGTTCTAAATATAATAAAGGCTTAGTCTGGGACCTTTTAACTTTTCAAATGAAAATGAAGAAAGAACCACCAGCCTTTCACTGAGAAGGACGCCACCACTCAGTGAAGAGGGGGCCTGGACAAAAGAGGAAGGCCTGGGAGATGGTTTGCCCTGTGGCTGCGACAGTGGGCTCAAGAATGGGAGCAATTGCGAGGAGGGCGCAGGTCGGGCTGTGCTCACTGTGGGCTGGAGCAGAATGGATGGGGTCTAACCACAGCCACCTGTAACTGTGTGACATGAGCTGTACAATCTGCTCTGAGTGTACATCCAGAGATACCATCGAGAAAAACGTTGCCACAGCAAGAGGGAGACCAGCCCGACTGCAGCCAAGGTGGGATTGACAGACAGATGCTAGGGGGAGGGCCTGGTGGTCACTGGCAGCGGGTAGTGGCTGTCACTCGAGGGAGTTTGGACCGGAAAAGAGTAGGTGAGATTGCCCATGGAAAGCAAGTGGGCGGAGGGGGACAGGAGATAGTCAACCAGGGAAGGAAAGCTCAGGGAAATCTGGAAAGAAGCGAGTGTACGGTACGCTGAGAAGCTTGAGTTCAAAGAAGGAATGATCTCCATCGAAAAGCTCACTGGAGTCGACAGGCCAGTTAAGAACCACAATGCACCTTTGGGATTTCCCAATTAGGAGGACTTGGGTGACAACCTTCATGGGAGAATCTTAATGACTCCACACTGTGGTCTTACAATCAAGTCTGGCTGGGCAGTGGAAAGTAGACACAGCACCGGTAGCGGTTGCCTGGTGTAAGACACATCTGTGTGAGGAAGGCCGAGTTGTGCTCTGGGAGTGTGGGAAGGAATGTCTACATATGGTTGTCCAGTGTAGGCAAGTTGGTTTTGTGACCCACGAACAACAGGAGACACTGCCCCATCCTCACGTTGGTCTTACGTTTGAGCTCAGGCATGTAGCTGCATTTCAGTCCCTCTTGTTGAGGTCGTCCTCTTTTTGGCTACCCACTGGTTTACCAAGCACAGTGTCCTTCTCCAGGGACTGGCCTCGCCTGACAGCGTGTCCAAAGTACGTGAGACGAAGTCCCAGTATCCCTGCCTCTAAGGAGCACTCGGGCTGTGCTTCTTCAATGACAGATTTACTTCGTTTCTTGGAGTCTAGAGTGAGTGTGTGTCGCAGTGAAAAAGAAGACCCTCAGGCTCCACGGGGCTGCTACAATGGGCTCAGTGAGAAGAACAATTGTGATGATGATGCAGAACCGGCTCTGTTCCCTGCTGTGGTGTACAGAACCAATTTGAGAGCACCTAAAAACAACATGAGATGCTGCCTGACTAGCGCTCTACTTCATGTATATATACATCCACTCGTTTAATGTATACGTATTTACTACCCCTTTAAAATATCCATTGGGTCTCTACTGGGAGTCAGGCACTGTGCCAGACTGACGATACACGGAGGTTCCCCTCTGTGTGCCCATGTATATTCAGGGAGCCAAGACATCACTGTGGGGGCTTGAGATCTTGTGGACAAGTTAACTTCGGACACATCACTTTTGCACTCAGTGGGACTACGAGTGAAGACCACCCCCTGCCACTGCCACCCAGTCGGTTTTGCCTCCTGCTGTTGGTGCCACCGTGCTCATTTGGACTCTGGGAACCCCATGCACAGCAGAAGGACACACTGTCGAGTTCTGGACCATTCTTACAATTGTCCCGATGTTTGAGCCTGTTGCAGCCATGGTGGCCATCGTCTCCTTGAGGACCTCCTCTTGTTCACTGACCTCTACTTTTCCAGCCATCGTGTCCTCCTGACAACCTGTCCAAAGTGGGTAAGATGAAGTCTCACCATCCTCACTTCTAAGGAACATCCCAGCTTTGCTTCTTCCAAGATGGATTTGTTTTTCCAACTCTTAGCGACCCTCTATGACAGAGAACTGCTCCCTATATTAGCACCCCACCCGAGGGTCCTGGTCTTGCTTCTTTGCCAACTGACATGAAGTGGAGGGGACACAGGGTGCCAGAGAAACAGAAAGGGAGTTGATTGTCTGGGCATTCAAGGAGCTATCAGTAAGCCTGGCGACCAAAATACCAGAGACTCTCTGAAGTGGAGGGGGGCCCCTGACTCTCTTTATCCCCTCCGACTTTTGAGATGTTTGCCTTCTTCCTGCCCTTCCCAGACATAGACAGAGATCTGGCTGGTGAGTCGTGCTCTCTAGATAAACCATCTGCTTGAAAATAGGCTTGCGGAGAATGGTGGGTCGGATGACATGTTCCTTTCCGGGTGGTCTTGGATGGGGGTTAGTTGGAGGGTGTGGCTGTGTGGACCACGCTGGACCACGCTGACGCTCAGACTTGGAAGGGTGTTGGGAGGGACTGGACGGTTTAGATCGAGCTGGGTGGAGAGCCAACTTATCAGCAGCCAGGCTAGAAGTCACCTACCAGCCCACTCAGGGGGAAAGATGAGGCTCTGTGGGTGCCTGACCCAAGCCATGGTATTTTCAGTCACCTCCCTGTGTGTGAAAGTTGGACATGATCCATATTTGGTGCGATTTTTGGTCATTTTTAAGCAACTGGTAAAGCAAGGTATTGGGGTGAGGTCTTTCAGTACATGGATTACTTACAACTACGTTTCTAGCGTGCTTGGAACACAGTAAGGGCTGAATGGGTCAGTGGGGGTTTGGGGGTAGGATGTGAAGAATCTTTTGGGGAGCAGACAGCGTTATCTTTCTCCTGTGGAGTAACTGGTGGGTTTGAACTGTGGACCTGCGCAGGTAGTAGCGCAGTCCTTACCTGTTTCCTTTTGCGGCAGAGAGGGGTCTTTTGTATTGAATTCGGTGATCTGAATGTACAACCAGGAAGCTCCTTAGAAGTCTCTGGCGACACTTTTTCTAACATCCTTTGGACATGCTGTCAGGATAGACCGGTCTCTGGAGAAGGGCATCCCACTAGGTCAAGTAAGTAGACAGGCGGCGACAAAGAGGAAGACCTTCAACAGGACGGATGGCCCCGTGGCCATGACAGTGGGCTCAAACGTCACCACCACTGTGGGGATGGTACAGAAAGGATCCCGCGGTGTTGCCTTCTGTTGTGTGTATGGTCACTGTGAGTTGGAACCAGCTCCAGGGCACCCAACCACACACACATATGTATGTTCAGTAAGCCAGCTGCGCTTAAGCCCGTGAAGGTGGTGCTGTGCTATTTGCTAGGAGGGTGATGTTGACAGCCACTCCCCAGGGGGATTGCTGTGCTTGGGAGTGAGCGAGGCAGCGATGGCATTGTCAGGCTTGATGGGTCACATCATTTCAAGAAAGCTCTTTCTTGGTGAACCCGTTTCTTTGAACCGGTCTTCACGTCTTCCTACATTTGGGTTGTTAAGGGTTTTAAGTTTGTTCCAAAATGATTGCACTTTGAACGTCGCCACGGCTGTGACGTCATTAACTAGAATGCCTCTCCTTCTCTCCCCCCTCCCCCAGGGATCTGCATCCTGAGTGTGAAAAAAGAGTGCGTGGTCTCAAGTAGACTAACAGGGGTGGCCTTGTGCTGAGCTTCCCAGCCCTTACTCACGATGGAACCAATCACGTTCATGGCCAGGAAGCATGCGTTCCCGAACGAGGCCTCGGTGGACTTCGGCCTCCAGCTAGTGGGCTCTCTGCCAGTCCATTCTCTGACCACCATGCCCATGCTGCCCTGGGTCGTGGCCGAGGTGCGCAGGCTCAGCACCTCCAGGAAGGAGCCGGTGAGCAAGCAAGTGCGGCTTTGCGTCTCGCCCTCTGGGCTGCGATGTGAAGCGGAGCCAGGAAAAAGTCAGCCCTGGGACCCGCTGCTGTGCTGCAGCATATTTGAGTGTCAGCCTCAGCAAGTCCACAAACTGATCCACAACAGCTACGACCCGAGCTACTTCGCGTGCCTGGTCAAGGAGGATGCCGCCAGCCAGCAGAGCGTCTGCTTTGTGTTCAAAGCGGACGACCAAACAAAAGTAAGTGCGCCTGGGGGAGAGGCAGAGGGTGTGTGTGTGTGTGTGTGTGTACCACACTGGGTGACACTGCCTGAAGGAGGGACACCAAAATGACTTTCTTTAAGAATTTTGTGCAGCGTTTCAGCGGGAAGGTATTATGTCATAAAAAGCTCCCTGTAGCTTGTAATAACAAATGCTTTCAGTGAGCTCAGCCTACAAGAATCAGTATACCTACAGGACTGAAACTCGGTGCTGATATGTATTTTTTTACCCTCTAATGCAATCTGGTGTTTTTATCATTGAGATCTTTGTCTAATTTTCTGTTGTTATTGTTGTTTTCTGTGACAATATTGTGGTCATTAGTAGTTTTGAACCTAGCACGGGAGTTCAAAAAGTTCACGGGAAAATTGTATCATTTTTTCATTCTAGTTTCCCCGAACATTTTCTGAAGCCCCCCACCCCCTACTGTGAAGGCTGGGTTCTGTAGAGAAGCAAAACCGGTGATGATTGCATGCGTTGTCTATAGAAAGAGATTGATGTCCACAAACGGCTCACCCAGTTGTAGAAACGGTCCAGCCAGGTTCACGTCAGACTCCTCCTGACTGGAGGAAGCTGAGGAACAAGGACGCGGGATGATGAAGCAGAGACCACAGGGGGCACAGGCTGATAGATGCAGAGGTCCGAAGATGCCAAATGAATCCACTGCCCGGTAGCCTGCTGAGATCAGCAGGTGGCACAATAGGAGATGGAGGAACCAGTTGCAAAATCCAGCATCTGGCAGGAGGGCCAACGAGGAGTCCATTCTGTTCTGTCTCTTATACATAAGGCCACCTCCCCCCTCCCCACCCCCCGCCCTTCCCGGAGGTGTCATCAGCTGTGACCTGTTTGATGGGTTGATCTATGCCCCTACCCTTACCCAGGAGTGTCTAGTTGGCATCATTCCCAGCCATCACGGATCCCAATCACCCTCTTGAGAATTAAATAATAAAAATTAAAAAAAAGGATGAAAAAAAGTAAGCTTCTGTCCAGCTACTGTCCACAGTATTTTTATTGTTCATATTCACATAACCTAAGAAATATTACATGTAAGTGCAGGGTTAAATTAAATGTGTGTGGGGGGTAGGGGGCCAGCCCCCACCGCTACTACTACCCACGGGTTCAGTAAGCACAATTGCACGGTTGAGATATATAAGTATTACATTAAAGTCATTGAGAGCATGAGAGATACAATAATGCAGTCAGACACATTACATGGTAGCATGCTCACCTCAGCCCAGCTTGGTGGTCCACGTGGAGAGAGGGGGAAGGGAAGGAGGGCAAGGGAACAAGGGAGAGAGGACTGGAGAGGAGGGGGGGGAGAGAGGGGAGCGACCAGGGAGCGAGAGGTCAGAGAGCTCTATATTGCTGTCCCACGCCTATATACCTTTTGGGAGCATGCCAGCCCACTAATTACAGGTAGAGACATACGTCACAGGGAGGGGCTGCACTATAGGTTACACAGCAATGAGAAGGGGTGGTCTAGGGACATACATGCAATAGGAAGAGGAGGGATTGGGGTATACATGTGACAAGATGGGCAGATCCCAGATTCAGGATGGCAGCCTAACTTCGGATGTCACAGAGCCGGTTTGGCCTGTTCCTGGCCCAACTGATAGAGACCATTATCAGTAGGATGCGAACTTTGCCCACTAGAGCCTGTCCATTGTCCCCAGCCAGCAGGGAGCAGGCCCAGTGCAGTCTGGCAACTGATGGCCCTCAGGGGAGGGAGTGCCTGCGCAGCTGACCTCCCCCCACATGTAAGCAGTTTACAATTACAGTGATCACATATTGCTCTACAATTAGAACAGATGATAAAGGTCAGAGGATTCTGTATGGGCTGGCACGGGAGGGGGTGCTTGCTGGTTTGCAGGGGACAACGTGAGATACCACCCTGAGTGGCACCCACTCCAGTGTTGCCACTAGAGCTGGCAATCCACAAGTATGGTGTGACGGGAGGTTTAAGTCACAGGGAGATCTGAAAATTTATTTTCAATATACTGGAATAAATAAAAGAGTGATTTGATATAGTGGGTTATGCATTGGGCTGCTAACGCAGGGCCAACGGAGAAACCCACAGAGGCAGTTCCATTCTGTCCTAGTCAGAAGTGCCTAGGCTGTCAGTTGTTTTGTTTAATTTCATTGGTTTTTTTGTTTAGGAGTTATTTTTGTTATAGCTTTGAAAAACATTTGTGAATGGATATTAGAAGTGATCAGTTTATGAACTCTAATATTCAACCGAGAGATCTTGCTAAAAGTATCCACAAGTCTTGCAGTGCTAGGGTGAAGTATTGGATCCTAAAGCCTGACTTCTCAAGTGTGGGTACAAATCACCTAAGGATTTGTTAGGTAGACCAGCATAGGACTGGGGGATGTCCATTAACGTGTGCCCAGAGGGCCAAGCTAGGGGAACAAAGGAGTGGCACAGCGTCTCTGAAGGCCATGGGGCCACATCGCGCGGTGGCCCCCTTAGTGTGGTCTAGAACTCAACCATAGAAAAAGGCTTGTAAATTGCCTGGGGACCAAATTCCCCTGCTGCCTCTACTACAGGTAAAATATTCAGGGCTGTTTCATTGCCCTTAAGTCCAGTGTCCCTTAGGGGGTCCTGGGTGCACTGGGAATAAAGATCTTTGTTCTTCCTCAAAAGGAAGAATGCTTTAATATACGGCATTTCCGCCCACCTTTCCATCGTTCCACAAAAATGTTCTAGCTGTTGCAGGGTTGGAAGGGAAAGTGTACCATTGGCTGGCCACGACTCTCCGTTCTCTAGAGCATAATGTGGC